GCGTATTGCTTCTGCATAAAGTCCAATTATTTGGCATTGTTTGCCTGGACAGACGGAAGGGTTGCGGCACTTGGTTCTAGTGGGGCTACTGGCTCCTGCCATTGCTCTTCATGTGGGTTTTTTTTCTTGTTTTTTTGTAACCCCAGATGCAGCTGCTAATGTAGTGGCGTTGTTTGGCGGTCACGGTAGGCACTTTTTTAATGCCACGTCCCACGTTACCAATTTTTGAACTCCCACCCAGCACCCAGAGCCAGTGGAGAAATCATTTTGGTTTTCTCTTATATTTTTTCGAGTATTTTTCGCGGGTTGCTGGGACTGGGAAATGAATGAAAACAAATTTGCAACTTGTTAGTCCAAAGGTCAAACATGTAAATTTCTGCAGGGGAAAGGTTTCAATGAGAGGTTGGGAGTGATGGTTAATAAATGAGACAAATGGATGATGATGAAAATTATTGAAGTACATAGTACCAGAGAAGAATTGATGGAAATTTACTTTAAAGAAACATAAGCATTGGGGATGAAACTAAAAGTCATGCAAATAGTGTAAATAAATTCAAATTGGAAGGTTGTAAATGGATGTAGGGAATGAGTGAATGGAGAGTGCCTTCTAGCTATAATTTGGATGGTAAAAATCCAAAAAAAAAAACAGCTAGTGGAAAGTATTTAAGTTACTTTAAAGAAATGCATTTCACCTTCTTCAGAGTGAATGATTTGAATAGAAACAATTCTTTCGTAAATTGAATACCGTTTTTCATGGGTCCAACTTTGATTCTTGTTTCCCTTTTGTGGGGGCGAAACTGCAAACCAGACTGATTTTTTGTGTGTGGTTCATATAGCATTCATGTAGCATTATTCATATGCATACCCGCTCCTCCCCTTCCGTACCTCCGCGCTTCCGCATATCCTTATTCACGCCCCGCTCTATATGTGGAAATATTTTGGCCTGCCTTTGGGCTATTTACTCGAACAGAATCATATTAATATTATGTTGATTATGTTGTATGTCTCGCATAATGCGGCAAAGGCAACAAACTTATAAATATTTATTTACATCCGGCCAGCGATTTGGGTAGAGAGTGTGTAACATAATGAAGATGAGCAGGAGGATTACACATAGAGGAAGAGAACTGTTTCAGTGTCGATCTCTCTGCCCGATGTGCGACCCTCCCCGCCCGGCTTCTGGGCCATCCACCTCTCCTTCCCATTCCTGAGTACTGACTCCTGCTAGTAGACAGAGAGGAGTGTGTGTGTGTGTGTGTGTGTTATCTTTTTGGGAAAATCGCTAACAATAAATAATTTATGTGCAGCGGCAAATGATAATGAAAAAGCCACCCCACGGCATGGCCAATGGCTCGGCCTTCCCTTTCCTTTCCGCAGCTCTCCCACCCAGCGCATCATATTGTACATATGTAAGTGTATCTCCATGTAGATACAGATACGGATACATATACGTTCGTATGTATGTTGGGCAGGGGTTGGGCTGCCTTTCGCTTTCGGTTGAACCATCGAAATGGACTTTTTAAGGCGATTTTCCCAGCGGCCCGTTGAGTGGCATTGAAATCACAAATCCAAATCCAAATCGTACCAACCCAACCAACCACTTCAAACGGGGATGGGACTAGAGAACTCCGGAAGGACTGCCCTGGAGTGGGGTGTGGGGGGAGGCATATAACATTATCGGCCATATGCAGGGCTGCCAAAGCGCACTTACGATGAATGTACTCGTCGCTCCTTCTGGTTTTTTCGTTTGGTTTTTATTTGTTTTCGTGCACGACCCCCCGGCGCGTTTTAGATACCAAACAATAACCTCTCGCGACTCGACTCGACTCGACTCGAGAGATCGCGGGGTAACAAAAACGCAACAGAACGAAAACAGTTACAGGCACAAAATGTAAGTGCGATGGGCCTAGACACGAGTGTTGTATCTGTGTGTATCCGCCAGTATGGGCTCGGGCAGCCATTTACACGGGGAAATGTGTGTCAAGGCCAGGGCCAGGACTTAAGAATACCAAAATGGATCATTGGGAATTTAAAAATAGCTCTGGGAATATCTATTAGATTTTTAATTTTTATTTGCAAAAAGATTCCACAAAACAATAAGGATATCAAAAACCTTTGCCACCGGGCGCTTGCCACCGAACTCTCGATCCTTGACCTCATGCTTCTCTTTGGGGTTCTGTGCAACTCCAACAACTCCTCTAGCTGCATTGTGTCATAAGTATGTGTGACATTTTTGTAGTATATTTGTAAGTCCAAAATAATTATACAGAATTCGTAAGATTCTGTCTCTTCTCACACCGACACCTCCTCAGGGCCGCCCCCTCTGCACCCTCTCGACAATCAACTGATGATGACTGGAACTGTCTGTCTTGTAACCACAAAGTGTCATATGCCGAGTATAAAACATAAACATAAACATAAAACCAGCTTCAAGCCTTTTCTTTGCGTGCTCTTTCGCTTTTTAATTAGCCTCTAAAGTGCTGACGCTCTTAATGAGGCAGCAGATACGCAATGTGATTGGGGGAATGCTGGTGGAATGGCGCAAATGTGCGCAAAAAATGTGTCTCATATGCCACAGAAGATAAGGTGGGAAAGTAAACTCCAAAAGAAAAATGAGTAAATATCTTGGAAATATTTTATACACAGCTCGAAAGTTGTAAAGACTTTTTAAGAATTTGAGCAGTGGCCACTCCTAACCATCGCAGACATATCGATATTTTCAATGGTGATGCCACAAAAGCTTTTGCCAATCGATAGGCCAAACATCAAAGTCAACTTTATCGTTTTGCTTATACGAGTATGTACACATGGCTGCCCCATTAAAGTTTATTGCTATTGCTGCTGCACCGCCCAGTGACCTCCCTCCAACCCCTGTGAGCCATCAGAATCATCATCATCTTTGATTTACTTCCATTTTGGAATCGCCTCTCGAAATGCATTGGCATGTTAAAGTTTATTGCCATGTGCATTAGCAGACACACACACACACACACACAAAATAAAACACATGCATAGATGTACATGTGTATGTATGTATGTACATTGTTGCTGTTATAGATTTTCGTCAATTGTCTGCCCAAACATTTGGCGTTGCATTTGTGGAGCAAACACACACACACACACACACACACACACACACACACAGATACATGCATCGCTATAAAGTTATCGCTTTTGAAAAGCGGCTGTCAATTTTTCCAATCATCAAGCCTAATGAAAAATCTAGCTCACTGGCATGCGATAGCAATAGCAATAGCTATAGCCACACGATACACACAGCGAACCAACCAACCAACCAACCAACCAACAGCTACAACCAGCAAACACCCAACAGTAGCTCACTCCTTCCACAGGCAATGTTGCATACAATTCTGACAATTTTCTGACAGCAAACATGCCAACACTCAAAAATCGTAGCATGCTTTTTTGGGCAGCCCCGCGCTGGAGCTGCGATGGGGTTTGAAGCTACAGCTGGAGGTGGAGCTGGTGCTGGTGCTAGACTGGAGCTCATACCTGAGGCTAGCAGCTGGAGCTTGTGTGTGTGTGGGTTATGATGGGTGTCGGTGGTTCGGAGTTGCGGTGCGGCATGTTAAATATACGTCACTAGCTACAACGAGCACATGCCTAGCAGCACCGTGCAAAAAGTTTCAAGGATATAACAACGCCAACACCAAACGATAACAACAAAAACAATACAAAAACAGTAACACCAATCATAATAGGGTTGGAAATGCTAAATTGTTGTTGTTGGGCTGCAAAAAACAAAAAATTAAACCAAAAACCTACTTTGAATGACGACTGATTTGATGGGAAGAATGATGGAAACTCGTCGAAATTATTTCCCAAAAATTGCCATATCTTTGATTTAAGAAAAGGGAAACATTATGATTATGAAGACTCGTTTATCATCGCTAAAAGTATTTTGACTGTTTTTGCAAACTCTTTATGTATGCAGAAAGTTATTTTAATGTCTATGGGAACTCCAATGTGCGCTTTACTTCTTGTCTTTTCATTAAATTTCTAGTTAAAGTAATTTGTGTTGTTGATGGGATTTTCCTTGCCTTGATTTTCCCTATATTTCCAGATCTTCTTTGGCTATTTATAAACAATTTTCGATGCGAAATTCTCGTATTATTCTACATTATTAACTCTTGGTCCAATCTGCTCTCAATCACTTTGCAATATGCATCTTTATCTCTTTAATTTTCTCCATTGGATTTTCCTTTGCACATTTCTCGAATGTTTTACTTGGCCCTGAATAGCTTTTTAACAAAAATAAGCCCCAAGTGAGGTGAAAAAAAGAAGGGACACGAAATGCAAAAAAAATAAATAAAGGAGCTGAGCAAAAAATGTGTAAAACATTGAGGGTTGTCCAACGTTGTGTCCTTGTGCTTGTGGGTCCCGTCGAGGGTGCTGCTCATATTTCACAGACACCGGGAGAATAGACAGCGGGAGGCAAGGGACATCGACACTTATTGTTATTAGCATCCCAGGATCAGAGCTCTGGCCATTGTCCGAAGGGGTAAGGCACCAGACCTGAGTCCAGAACGTGTTAACCTTTTGCTGGGTGGCGGTAGGTTGGTGTGACAGGTGTGGCAGATGTGGCAGGGGGCTTCGCGTCCATTTCAAAAGCCAATTACATGCGCTTTTAAGCGTGTAAAGTTTTGTAATATGATTTGTGTTGGCCACTCGCACACTCGGCTGTCTCGAATGTCCCTGCCGTCCTGCCCTTCTGCCCTCCTGCTTCTGCTTTTATGAACATGTCCTGTCCATGCACGTTAATGCCTTTTGCCAAGCGTGTCCTTGCCATGGCAACCCCCAAAGCCAAGCACCAGGTGATATGCCACTTTACGGATGGGTCAAGAAAAAGACCAATCAAAAAAAAGAAGATGTTCCCAGTTTCCTGCCCCCTCAAACAGGAAAATATTTCAAATTAAATATCACAATGCTGGCCGTCCAGTTATTGTCATCAATACATAGTTTTGTCACTGTAAAGTACAACTCAAATTAGATATTCGGCGATACAAATCGTCTTTTCTTTTTGTACTTCCTTCTTGTTGATAAAGATACCAATTGAAAGGTTTCGTAGCTAAAAAAAAAGGTTAAGTCGTGCCCAACGACTGGCGTTTATCTACTTACCCCAATCGCTTTGTGTTTTTTGAATAATTGTTTGTTAACAAGAGCAATAAGGGTAAGCATAGTCACAGTCAACGCTGAAAACTGCTGCTCAAAACTTTTCTACATAAATATTTGACCATTAATAGTGTTAATTCCCTTTCTTTTAGCCATGGGATCCCACCAGCAGCAAAGAGACAAAATTGTCGCCGAATTTGCCGCCAGCTTGAATCATGACCGGCGCGGGCAGCTGCCCAGCGCCTCACTGGAGCTCAATGAGTGTATGAATACCATGATGAACCGTCAACGTCGTACCGTTGGTCCGTTCACCTTGCCACCGCTTGTGAGACCGCCACCGCCTGTCCACATATTCCATCCAACGCATTTCCAGGGAGGCGGTGATCGGATGGACTTTAATCTGCAGAACATATTGCCGGCGATACCTCGCGCTCAGTTGGCTGCTCGCATCGGAGGCGGCGATGGCGAGCTCCTGGGGCATGGATGGGGCCAGGCCGGAGTCCATCAGTTGAACCACAATCAGGTGGCGCCGCCTGATGTGGGCTTTTGGCTGCACCCTCGCGCCGCTAGGCATATGAATATTGCCGTTCGAGTCCTCAGGGGCGACTTGGGCCGCGGTGTGGCCTTCCGCGGTATGGATGGCAATGTCGCACAGGTACTGCGACAGATGCGTGGCCAAATTGGAGCGGGTGATAGACCCGTTCTACAGCAGAATGCAGACGTCATGGATGTGATTTTCGGAAATCCAGTGCGTCGACCCAGACATCGTCATATTTTTAATAATTTCCGACAACTGCTGCGTTACGTTAATCGCCGTCCATTCGCCTTGGAGGAGATTCGTGGCCAGATCCTGCAAGCAGCCGCCGGCCCCGTACACCGACGCGGACGCCACGTTTATGCTGGCCAAGCGCGAGCCGAAGTCGTGGTAGACCCGGAACCTGTGCTACCCGAACCCCATGGATTCAACGTAAACGAAGATGCTGCCCAAATCGGTCACGATTCTGATGGGAACGAAGATCTCGAGGCACCCGAGAAACAGGAGGAACAGGAGGAACAGGAGGAACAGGAGGAACAGGAGGAACAGGAGGAAGTGGAGCCTTCTGACAACGGCAATGCCAATGAACTTGTCGGCTTGGAGGACACACAGCAGCCGATGGCAGGGGAAGGATCAGCAGCACTGCCCCTGGATCCTCTCCACAGTGTACTGTTTCAGATTCAGGAACGTCTGGGCAACATTGCGGTGCAGATGGACAGCTATGAGAAGACGCTGCCAAACGAGCAGCAGCAGCGGGATGGCGACGGCGATGCCGTCTAGCCAGATCTAGGTAGCTAGGTAGCAGCTCCCTCCCCCCCACACAGTGTTTGTTAAGCAAGAAAAACAAAATCAAAATTGCGCGTGTTCAGATCTTAAGAATAAATATATAAAGTGATCCACACCAAAACGGACCCCAAAAAGGGGCTCTTGAGGGGCTCTGCTCGGCCCTGCCTTGTGCCCATTCCGCCTGCAGGTGGACCTAGTGGCAAAGTGCTCTGTAAATAGTATTTATTTCGGCGAATTGTCGAGCCGAGAGGCGGCCCAATAGTACGCTCCCACATCGAATCCTGTTGCGGGTTACTTTACGCTGGGCCCTCGGTGGAGTGGATTTCGTGCGCGAATTTCAAGAGTGCTAAAGGAATGACATGCAAATTAGTTTTGTTCGAATGACTGACAAGTTGCAAAAAGGGCGCACCAGGACGACAGGCCCGGACAGGCAGTCAGGGGGAGGGGGCTGGGCGGACAGGGCAAGGGTAATCAGAAGCACTGAACAATTTCCAATGAAAGCAGAACAGCAAAAGAAATAGAAAGGGTTGCCGTTTTCCGTTTGTAGTTGCCCCGCCATAAACTGCAACACAAACGCAAACAAAAACCCAAGACCGAACCTCGAGTCCGAGTCCGATTCCGATACCGAATACGGACCAAAAACCAAACCAGACCAGGACTCAATTGCCGTTTGTTCTGGCCACACAATGCAAAGTGCATAAATAAAGCAGAATTTTCGCGATGTGGCATGGGCTGAGGGTTTTATGGCCGGCTCTCACTCCTTTACTGCTTTACTCCTTTTTCGCTCGACCTCCTTGACCGACTCGAACTTCTTCGCTTCGGGCCTGACCGCACGGCACAAAGGCGATGGAAAGGAGAGAAAGGATTGATATCCTATAGAGCTGTCTGTACCTGCAACCGGGCTTCAGTCTCTCCTTTCATCATTAGCCCTGTAAATTAGTCGCGAGATCCCTGCGTGTGTGTGGGTGTACACGCCCCCTTCCCTGCCCAGCCCTGGTGGCACAAACAAAAATATTTGACAATTTAATTAGTTGAAAATTTGCAGGATTATCGCTGTGCACACATCACTTTCGAACCCATGAGCCACACGACACACATGACTCTAATCTGACGCATATGCTGCTGCTGCTGCTGCTGCTGGCCAGTGAATGGTTGGGCACAGTGGCGAGTGGGGGGCCGTACGTGTCCTGCAGCTTGTGGTCGCCACTCGCCGCATCAGTGATAGCGCCGCAGTAGCTTTTGATCCCCCCCACCCATCCAGCTGCTTAGTGGAAATTTTTAATTAAAATGTTCCGCCCTCGGCCGCACTGTATCTCATTTGGCTTTGACCTTTGACTCCTGCTCAGCCCCCCCTAATGCCAATGGGGGTGGCCCGCACCAAGTGGCGCTAACAAATTTAATTAGCTTAGCCTCGGTCCTCGCTGCTTGGTCCACATTTCAGAGAGAGATCCTTTGACAAGGAAGCCAAAAGAAATAATTGGTACGCCTCTCCCCATATTTACTACCCAAAGTTCAAAGAAGTGAGAGGTGCCAAAAAACGCACCAAAAAAGCTGCTGCTGCCTGCAGCCAAAAAAAAACACACAATTTAATAAGGAAAACATCGGCTTGGGGTCGATTGGCATGAAACGTTTTGCTTAGATCCTAACTCACTTCCGGCTGCACCTCTCCCTACTTTGGAATGCATTAGAAATGAATGAGGCATGGGCGAAACGGATACTGTAGATGTCACAACAGCCAGCAACATCCTGGCAGCAGCAGCAGCAGGAAAGCAGCAGAAAGGGCAGTCAACACTCCACACTAAATCCACAGACTGACACGTAAAACAACAGTGAATTAAAGCACTAAAAACACTGCAAAAAAAGGGATGCTCAAGGGGTAGGTTAGCGAAAGATTAAAGAAGTTTTTATCAAGTATCAAATTTCAAGCATAAATTGATTGTCGCTTTAACTCTCAAGGTAGAAAGGAATCCCCAACTGAACCATTTATGTATCTGCCATTTCAACAATATTTTTCTCAGTTTATTCAAATTTAAGCCCCGAATTTTGTTAGGATTATTAGCCAAGAAATATCTGAAAATTTCTTCATATGTTGAGAGCAGAGCTGCTGCTCGTATTCTTTGGGGCATTTCACTCGTTCGGGGAGCACTCTCTCAGACTTGTATTTGCAATGTATTCCCCAAGCACATCCCTGCCACACACACACACACACACACACCACACACACACAACTCGTAGATTGTTGCACTGTTGCACGTACATTTTAAAAACGGAAGCGCACGGAATCGAACAGCAAACAGCAAACAAACAAATTTCAATTCGTTAACGCTCAGGCCTATTGTGGCTCTTGTTGTTGTTGCATGCCCAAAAACAACTACAACCACAACAACAATGGCAGTGGCAGCAGCAACAAATTGTGGCAGAGTGAGCGACCCAAAAAGGACACCCAAAAAAGCAACTAAAAAAACGAAAAGAAGGCAACGGCAGAAAGGCTAAAAGAACGACAAGGACAAGCGGCCAAGTGGCGTTAAGTTTTTTGCATGTTTTCTAAACAACAAGAGCCACATACACACACACACACACACACACACACACTTATGCACAGGGATTGCCTGCTGCTCCTCCAGTGCTCTGCTGCTGCAATTTTTCGACAATGCAATCTAAACCGTAATCCAATAAAATCGACTGCAGGAATGTTTTTTGCACCCAAAACAAAACACCAAAAAAAAAACAGAACAAAAAATGGCCAACATTTTTGACAGTTCATTGTGCGAAAGCCCCGGATCAGCTCCCCCCCCTCCCCAGCAATCTGCGCCCTGAAATGGGGGATTTTGGAAGGGTGCAACACAACGAGAGTCAAGTCAGTAGATCCAAAGAATGTTGCATGGGCGTGGTAGGTACTAGGACGAATCTCGGCCTAAAGTGCTGAAAGCAAAAAAGAACAGCTTGAAAAGAGAGAGAGAGAGAGAGAGAGAGAGAGAGTGGGAGGGATAGGGAATGTAAGTGAATGGTTTGGGAGATTCGGAAGAATTGTTGCGAAATTGCTATTTGCACTCAATAACACCCAGCAGCAGCAGCAGCAGCAGCCCCTTGCTTCCCCTTCCCTCTACTATCTGCCCACATTCGGTGGAGTTGGCAACCAGAACTGGTCTGGCCACAAGCGCTGACCCAACTATATCGGATACCCGCAAAAAAATTGCATTGGTTGGGGCATGGGCACAGACACAGGCACAGGGCAAAGGCGACCCTGAACTGAGCAGGGTGGAACGGGTGGATGGAAGGAGGAGTGGTGTGGGGGGCGTTACAATTGCAGCATGTTGCAGAAAGAGCAGAAACCCCGCTGCAAGGAAGCGCAAAAAGCAGCAAAGAAACGAAACAAAATTTGTGCGCCATAAAGCATGCAAAAAAGGATGAAAAAGTGCAACGAAAAAGGGAGGCAGAGATGGGATTGCATTTGTTGTTGTTGTTGTTGTTGTTTGGAATGGCTGACAAAGCGCAACAGAATGGGGCAGCAATAAGGGGGTAGCAGCAGCCGTTGGCCATTGGGGTGTGTGCTTCGGCAGAGAAAAGGATCTCTGGTTGTTGAAGACACGTCGAATGAGAGAGAGAGAGAGAGAGCCTTGTCAGCCCCGAGACATGCAGGAAGATATGCCCCTTGCTGGCGCAATCTGAAGAGTGTCAGCAAAGGGTGGCGCCGTGAGGGTAGGGGACCCCTGCAGCAGCCCCATGTGGCAGGTCGGGGAGGGGGCGGCGAACATTTATTGTGGCTGCATCTGTGGATAAGTATGATGTGAGGCGACTTTAAATTTATCAAAGCACCACACCCCACCCTCAACTATTAAAGAAAGGAACCGAGAGCAGCCACAGCATCTGAGAAGGGAGTGAAAAGTATTCATTTCCCATATTTATAGAGCAATATCTTGGGTGAAATTATGGCAATGTTTGCCATGAATGTAAACCCTTGACAAATCTCACAAATCTACAGAAGAACTACGAAATATTCTTCTCCATTTATCAATAAATTTCCACTAAAAACTACCAGTTATAGAGAACTAAATTATAAATTGTATTTCGCAGATCTTCTCATCTCTTGTCGATATCCCTGCTGCATGCATACCCTGAGTAGTCCCTTTCCAGTGTTTATTTTGCACTCCTAAAGTGGACACTCTTATCCACTTATTTACACTCACATCGAACGCAACCTCAACAACTTTAATTGAAGTGTAATTTCCCCTACTCCTCCGGTAATGCACTTTGGAGTGCGAGTTTTCCCGAAAAAGAAGTCAGTGACGGGAAATCAATTGCGCGGCATGTTGTCCGTGGCATAGAAAACCCAGTTCCGGCCACCAGCCGTAAATCTGTGTAGAGACAATTTTGTGTGTGAGGCATTTAGGGTGTCCCGGCCACGCCTTCGCTTTGCCCATGCTCCTGGGGCGGCAGGCAGGTCGTGGTGCCGGCTCGAATCGAATCGGATCGGATCGGACCCACTCCGATGGTCGCGCGCGCCCAGGCCGCCCAGCGGGCACGCATTTTCCGCATCTCAAATGCACGCGACACGGCACAGCGGTGGGCGATCCCCGCCAGGATGTCCCGTTGCTGCACCCAGTCCCCGTTCCCGTCTCCGATCCTGGCCAGAGCGGATTGCATTCCAATGAAGCGAACATCGTAAAGCCACAGGCGCGAGTGTCCTGCCTTCGTAGAAAGTTGTAAAAAGGGACGCGAAAAAGGATCGGGGCAGGCCACCGCCGAGTCCCTCAGACTCCTACCTCGGCCGCTCGATTCGCGTGCGCAACGCAGCGGGCGACATGATTCTGGACTGGCTGCCGTTTTGGCCCTCACGCTGCGCGTTGACAGACACTCAGAGAACACCGAGAGAGAGAGAGAGAAACAGAGAGGGATCTGCAGAGGGAGAGAGAGAGAGAGAGAGAGCGAGTGAGCAGCTTCTGTGCACGCGCAGGCTCGTTGCGAAAGGTGCGCTCGCTCCCTGCCGCCATCCTGTCAAACTGCCACTTCGAGGACATGTCCCAGCGGTTGGTCCATGGCCAAACGC